CAGTATTTAATCACCCCACCACGATGGCATCATGTGGCACAAGGCCGGTTTGACGCGGGATTTCCGAGCCCGTTGGCTCGGCCAAAAATATACCCTTTGAACCCGTATAAACGGGTTCAGGCTCGGCTCCCCGAAAGAGACTCCGCCCTTCGGCGAAACCTCGTTCAGGTTCCTCCCCGCCCGAAGGCAGAGAGTTCAACCGATCAGCCGGTCAGCCGGTCGCCCGACTTCAGACTGAACTCTTTGCTTCCTCTTGAGGCGCAGTATTTATTACCTATGGAATAGTCCATTATGTTATTATGGGTAAGGTCCCATAACAGTTTTGAAGTATGGAAAGCATGAGCTATCCGAACTTATATTAACTTTTTCTGGTGATTCTTGCACGGAGTGAAATGTGTCCTTTATTAAACATATCGTATGAAGAAAACACATCAGAAGTTCTCATGCGGATTTTAAAACAGATAGATATACGAATTGTATTCTCCTCTTTCAACAGAATAGGATGGACACTCATCAGATTAAAAGATGAAAGAGCAGTTATAAGTAATGGCAATCTACAAAATTAATTGCATGAACTGCTCAACAAGTTATGTGGGCATGATTTCAAGATTGAAAGAACGACTGGATGAACATCGAAGACTTTCTGATAAGGTAATTTCAAATAAAAGCGAAAAACAAAAATTGGAGAAAAAAACTTCAGCGATTGCATTACATGCCATTGCAGAAGGTCACAGAATTGACTTCGACCATCCGGAAATAAAATTGAAGAACCAAAAGCATTTCAATCAAACAAGAGTAGCTGAACAAATGGTAATAGCAAATACAAAAAATGTTTGCAATATGATAGGTGAAGCACAACTCCATCCTGTCTGGACTTTTCTGCTACAAAGAAAAATATATGACAAAAAAAAAAAAGAAAAAAAAGGCAATTTGTAGAGTAAAAACATAATTCCTTTTTTTTATGCCTCAATTTGCTTTTACTTTGTAAACGTCATCAACTCGTTTTTTTTTCCTTGATTTGAATTCTTAAGCGTTTCTAATTTCTTTGCATTATTTTACTCAAATGAAGGAGTGACCAAGACTAGCAACAGCTACTCGAAATATTTCCATAAAATAAATCATTCGTTGGAACTACAAGTTTTTTTTTCTTTTAATTATTCTACTTTTGAGTTTATTTTATAGTTCTGGTTACTGAAGGTAGCGAGTTGGAACAGAAAAATTTATAAGTTTGGATCTTTTGGTGAAGATTTTTCCCAGGAGATTTGATTGTGAAAATATCTGTTGCTCAAAGAACTGCAGATTTTTGAAAACATTGTTTTGGTCTATGTTCGCCCAAAAGATTATCAGACGAATACGTAAGGTTGTTATTTTGAATGCAGATAGACTTGAAGTTTGGCGATATTTAAAGTCTGGATAAGTTAAAAACAAACAAGAGAAAATGACCCTTTTTGACCACTCTTATAATCGAGGGATGATGAGATAACTCGTGGGTGGATGGGTTCTCATATATACAGCATTTTGGCGAATGGAGGCCGGGAGAATTAAGAGGAGAGTTACAGTGTAGATTGGCTGATCAACACACACGCAATTCACACCCGCCTGAAAATTAATTCGATGTTCGATTCTTTGATAAAAGTTTGAGAATACATTCTTTAGTTCCAAGTCGTTACCCCTTCCAGAGGTGTTAAGTGATATCAAACTTTTGGAAGTATTCTATCTTTATTTACTATTATTAAAATTATCGTGTTTAACCAAGATCAGGTCTTCTTCTTCCGACAAGAGCCCGACTTTCTTTTCTTCGGCCCTGATGTCGAAAAACATATCACGGCATACCGAATCAAGGGGAAGGGTAACTCTCCCTTTTCGTGTCAGTAGAGAAACACAACACTTACCAGCAACTCTAGACGATCGACGACCGAACTGACACCAATTCCTTGACCAGTTTAAAACTATATGTAACCTGACCCCCACAGACATCCCAATGTGAAGATATCTACTAGAGGTAGAGTCCGCATGAAAAAAGGGGATTACATTATACCCTCGAATGTTACGGCCGCTTGTCCGACTCTATAAAAGGTTTTAGCAATTCTTTTATTAAATTTTGACTCACTATGTTTATCCTTGGGCGATATATAGAGTAAACAGAAGGTTGTTATTTTATGTAGTGTTGCTGTTACTGCAACTGCTTGCATGTTTGATTTCTGTTTGTAATCACAATGCGGGATATTGATGATTATTGATATGCCGCCTGATGCTTTCTCATTATCGTTGTTTATATATTTGTATGCTGTGTAGTATTTAACGTCAAATGTATCTGTTTCTATCTGATTCTTGTTTCTTGGCACATTATACAGGTTGGAGTCAATAGTGATAATTCATTACAATTGACTTTAGCCCATCATATTCCACTGCCTTATTGTCTTTGTCGCTGTTTTCGGTTGTTTAAGGATTTAAGTTGATGGTTCTAAGTGGGTTGTTAATTTGTGGTCTAGAATTTTATGTTTTGCCTTTTTTTTAGTGCAAGGGAGTTTCCTCTGTTTCCATTTTATCTAATGAATCAAATCAATTTTTTTGTTTCAATTTGATCTTTGCTTTTGGAGTCTTCGGGTTGTGTTTTTATTGCTGTCTGCTTTAGTTCTTTAGAGGATCTCTCTCTCTCTCTCTCTCTGTCTGTCTGTCTCTCTCTCTCTGTCTGTCTGTCTCTCTCTCTCTCTCTCTGTCTCTCGTGTCTCTCTGTCTGTCTGTCTCTCTCTCTCTCTCTCTCTCTTGAACTCCTGGACGATGGATATTTTGTTGAGTGGGTTTGGCGGGGCTGCAGGTTTGGAAATCTTTGTGATTTCCGTTCGGGATCATTAATCTTTTTTTTTTTTTTTTTGGGGGGTCTTTAGAAGGGGTGCTGACAAGTAATTGTTCTTTTACATTAATTTCATTTATATCGTTCAGATGATGTTTAATTGCTTGAGGGAGTGCTGACAAGTAATTGTTATTTTACATTAATTTCATTTATATTGTTCAGATGATATTTAATTTCTTGAGGGGGTGCTGACAAGTAATTGTTCTTTTACATTAATTTCATTAATATTGTTCAGATGATGTTTAATTTCTTGACGGGGTGCTGACAAGTAATTGTTATTTTACATTAATTTCATTTATATTGTTCAGATGATATTTAATTTCTTGAGGGGGTGCTGACAAGTAATTGTTCTTTTACATTAATTTCATTAATATTGTTCAGATGATGTTTAATTGCTTGAGGGGGTGCTGACAAGTAATTGTTATTTTACATTAGTTTCACTTTTATTGTTCAAATAATATCTAATTACTTGAGAGGGGGTGCTGATAAGTCATTCTTCTTTTACTTTAGTTTCCCTTTTTATTGTTCGACTTAGGCTTAATTTCTTGTATAAATTTGGCCCAATCATTTCAACCCAGTTGCCACAATGTTTTCTATCAGAGTGTCGTATTTATCATTATTAGTCTTTCTAGCGACCTCTGAGTAGGTCACGTCTTTTATAGAACATTCCACGGTTTGGTGCGCTTCCTGATTTGGAGATGTTTCTAGTGCGCTTTATGTTCATTAACTCTTTTTCTTGCCCCCATATGTCACGTGATCTGGCGTAGGCTGAGGTGGTTTTCGCTGCAGTTAACGCATTTGTACACGTCCTCGCACTCATTTGTCATGCGGTCTGGGTTTTGTTGACTACATTTGCTGCACACGGTTTTTCGATGGCAAGCATCCTCCTGATTTTGACAGTTATAACGTCGGGGGAGGTTTGGGATATAATCTTCGATTACTTCGATGTTATAGCCTAGTTTGACTTCTTTCAGAATTGTAAGCATGTCAGATGTAATTATATACGTGTTTGTATTCATTCTCCCCTTTTTTTTAATGCTAACTCTTCTTACATCGATGATTCCTTGTTATTGTTTTGTATATTTTTTTTTTAAATGTAGCTACTATTTCTTCCATGGAGCAGTGGGACATCTCTATGGTTTCTTGAGGTGTTCAATGTTTTGTGGGGGTAGATCTTGATTTTTATTTCATGGTATTTTTTCATCTTCAGAAGTGTGTCAGCGTCTTTTTCTTTTTCTGTCAACAAGTATTGCCACCTTTTTAGGTTAACATTGGCATTACTTTGGAATATAATTTGTATCAAAAAACCGCGATAATTTTGTGAGTGCAGTCTCCTCATCTGATTCCAAGATTGTGAATCTTGAAAACAATATTCTCTCCTCATCCGATTATATTTCTGTGTGCAGTCGCTTGGGAGATTTTTGGGGGTTTTTTTATTAGCTATATAAATATTATTTGAAATCATTGACCAAGTCGATTGCGGGCATGGTTGTCGAAATTAGCCACATTTGGGTTTCCCCGTTAGCAGCACAACAGCTTGGCATATCCAGATACGGGCCTCTTTGCAAGTTGTCAATATCCGGTACTTTGTCAACTGTTTTATATCAACAGAAGCAACGGGAAACTCAGCAGTAGGCAGTTGGCGAGGCTCGGTGTCATGTGGAGACATTTCCTTGATGCATTTTGTTCCGGAAGTTACGTGCCGCGCTCTCTGAGGCAATGGACTCAATAGTCATTACTCAGTTTAATTTCTGTTTCCTCCCGTCTCTTTTTCTTCCCTGTTCGTTACACTGTAATTCTTAAGAGAACAATCGGTTCAGTGTTTGTCTCCAACTTCAACCTTTTCCTTATTTTACAACACACATACAAAATTTAAAATGCACTTCAGAGTTTTATTTGTTCTATATTCACTGATTCCTTCATTTTCTACGGTTTGCCTGTTATTCAAAGCCAGAACATATTTTTAGATTTTAAGAATTTAATAATAATAGTTTAGACGTCTTACTAATTAACCCATAGGGACGGGAGAAGAGGTAATTCATACATTTCCCAAGCCCATAAGCGAATATCACGAACACGACAAGAATTGGAACTCGGCTCTTCGAATAGCAGTTCTGAGCCATTATATACCACCCACCCATCCAAGCTTACAGCACCTGAAATTCACAACCATTCACCCATCTATGTACAGACCAGGGTTGACATTGCTTAACTTCGGTGATCATACGGGAACCGGTCTTTCAACGTGATATGACTGTAACTTTAAATACTAGTAAAAATGAATAATAATGGTTGATACATCATTTAATAAAAAATGAAGATGATACATCTGTACTGTACTGATGATACATCTGTACTGTACTGATGATACATCTGTACTGTACTGATGCGGCATTCACCCTGGGCGGATTGAGCCGGCTTCTTCCTGTTATGAGAAGAAGATTCTTGGGATACATCATTTAATAAAAAATGAAGATGATTGTAAATACTATTCAAAAACGAATAATAATGTTTGACTTAATAAAATCTAAAGTTAAAATACTTATCACATATATAACATGGTTGCGTACTCCCTTCGCTGTAGACTTGTATCAGGCCACCCCCAGTTTAGTAAATAACAAAAAAGTACTTTCATGATCTTGTAAAACCTTCAGTATTAATACGGTTAGTCAGTTATGTGCCATGCGTGATACAGGCTTAGGCGATCATGTATCTTTCGAGGCAGATTTTTTTTTTCCGGTTGCCATTTCTTTCTGCGATAGATCAGTTGCTATTCAAGCTATAGAACACGGTCTGTCCTGTTATTTACCCATAGCTTGGGTGGGGGAGAAAAAGAGGATTCATGCCTTTCCCAAGGGTATTAGCACGTAAATGAATGTAATGGATTTGACTGGAATTCAAACTCAGCTCTCAGATTCCTCAATCCGAGCCGCTATCCATTACTCTGCCAATCTTATTTATACGGTACTTCTCCTATAAGCGCGACATGATGTAAAAAAATGTTGAGAAAAACTACACTAGACCAATTTCAGAAGTATATTTATTTTAGATGGTAGAATAATAAAAATTAAACTCTCTAAAGAATTTACTAAAGAGACAAGTTATAAAAGTTGTTACCCTTTGTAAAATAGTATCAAAGTTTTAATTTTCAAATATATACCAAAACGTACTTGAATTTATAAGAGAGATTTTTGTCGTTTTTTATTTTCTCACGTATTCGAACGAATTGGCTACTCTTCTCTGGGATTAAGATAAGTTTTCATATTTTTATTTATTTATTTTTTTTAGGAAGATAATAAACAATCTTCTAATATTTCCCAAAGAAATACATCCCATGCATAACCGGAAGACCAATGAAAAGAATGAATATAAGAACACATCGATTGATCCTGTCTCCGGATTGATTCAAGCAACATATTAAAAAGGAGGCGTTGAAGGACACTGCACTTAGTTTAATTAAACTTCTGTGTCGACCTCTCAATCGTTTCTCCTTCCCAAAACTCGGAGACGTGTTGGCATGAACTGGTTGGTAAATGGAGACAGCGACGAAGAGCGTGAACAGTGGGTCAGCAAAAAACCGCCCCATGTCCTGCCATTTTTGAGTTGACTATTCTAATCCAACTTACAATCAGCTACCTCCCATTCGCCAAACTTAACGACAAAAGATACCGAAAAACAGAGAAATACTTTAACTGTATTATAAGGCTGGCACAAGTTCAAGTATTTTTTTTTTAATATTGTATTGATCTCAGAGCTTAGGTTTGATTTCAGTTACGTGATACATCCTCATAAAAAATGAAGTTGAAAGTAAATACTAGTTAAAAATTAATAATAATGGTTAACAATACCTCATCTAATAAATTAAGAAGAAAGTAAATACTAGGAAATGTTATTAATAATGGTTGACGATAGGTCATTTAATAAAAATGAAGATGAAAGTAAATACTACTCAAAAGTTAATAATAATGTTAACAATGCCTCATCCCATAGAAAACAGAGATAAAATTAAATACGAGTCAAAACTTAATAATAATGTTTGACTTAATAAAATCTAAAGTTAAAATACTTATAACATACATAACATGGCTCCGTACTTGTTATCAGGCTACCCTCAGTTTAGTAAATAACTAAAAGAGTACTTTCATGATCTTGTAAAACCTTCAGTGTTAATATGGTACCTCTCCCGCTTTCTCCTTCTGTTCGTATCAGCTTTTTCCGCCCTGGGGCAATGTTTAATGAGCTACTTTTGTTGAGAATTACGACTCGATATTGGTTTCTATTCTTATTGTCAATTGCTTTTTACGTGTGTGCGCATGCGCGCGTTTCTGTATTCAAGATCTACAGCTTTTCGGCATGACGACCGAGAAAATATCTTTATTAAGTAACTGGTCACTGCTGTTACGTTCGCGGGAGTGTTGGGAGTAGACTTGATGTAACTCATTTCTCATGACTCAACAAAAAAAAAGAAAAGAAAAGAAAAGAAAAAAGAAACCTCGTGATAGAGCCCGAGGTAAGACTTAATGAATAGAAAGGACATTACCTTGTTGTGACATAGGACTTGTTAGCTCTTGCTCCTGGACAATTGTCGACGACCTCTCTCTGTTGTACTTTCGTTTATGGTGATGACGACAATTGTCAAAGGAACACGAAAGGCCGTTGACTCCGATGGTGACACTTCTCTCTCCGTTGTAATATCGCCTATGGCGATGGCGACAATTGTCGAAGGAACCCGAAAGAATATTATTACTTGCCGCTGGATAATAGGTCCACGCCCTCCGATGATGACGCATATCTCTTGGTCATACTATTGTTATGGTGATGACGACAATTATCGAAGGGACCGGAAACGTTGATAAGCTGTTGTTGCAAACAAAATAAAAACTTCGAAGGGGAAAAACACGTGGAGACTAGTGTTAACCATCGAACCGAGTCATTTTTTTAAACATTATAACGTCTCAAAAGTTTAAAAATATGTCTTGAAAGGATGTGCGGGTGGCATAACGGTTAGCGGTACGAAACGGAAAATCGACCAGCCTAGTTCAAATTCCGGACTCGTCTGTTAGGTTTACTTTCACACCTTGGTAAAGTATTTTTTTCACCCTATCCCTAGCTATAGATTAAATAATAGAGCAGATTGAGGTCTCTAGCACTGGATGGCAACCAGTTTAGAAGAACGTCTATTCTAAATTTAAAACTGTGGATAAGGCAATTAAAAAACAGTCCCATTGTTTTTTTTTCCGAGAAGTCATGGAAATTCGCAAAAACCTGTGGAAATCCATGATCGCTTATATCCTGAAAGAATATGGCATTAAAAAAATAATGTTTCGAAAAAGAAGTTATTAAAAGATGGAATTGATTTACTACAACAAATTTTTTTTTTTTTTTTGGACGAAATTTATTCTTGTGAGAATTTTTTGTTTATTTTCTTAATGGAATTCTTATTATGGCTTTCTTGGAGAAAATGAATATTTGTTTTCGTGTGGAATTCTTATCTGCATGGTTTCTCAGTTCTTTGAGGATGCGGCTTTTAACCGCTCTAACTTCATTCTAACTTATTCTGAGTATCATTTCATTTCAGATAAATAATGCCATTGAACTAACTAATCGTTGCTTTAAATACAGAGCATCGTGATTTAGAGATTTCTTGCTTCCTGAAAGTTGCATAGTCGTTTGTCATCAAAGTTTGCGAAGAGCTGGAACCCACCGATGAGAATTCTACAGCAGTAACCAAACGTATGTCAAAATTATAGCTAATAATACAGGATTGCTCAGTTCTTTGAGGACACATCTTTTAATAGATCTTTTTTTCTAACTTGTTCTGATTGTCAATTCTTTCTAAATAGATGATGGCAAATATCAAACTAACTCAGCAAATGAAAAGGCTCGCTGTAAACGTTGTCTTAAAGGTAGAAATTATAACGGATTTTAAAGAACCTATAATACAGTATTTTTCATGAACGTTCTTTTTAGAATCCTATAATAATGGATTATCTTAGAAACATAATACCGGTTTTTTTTTTATAAGCCTAGAATTAATACCATTTTTCTTTTTACAAACCCATAATTAATATAAGATTTTTTTCATAAAGCTATATACTAGATTTTTATATGCCTATTATCACAGCATTTATATAAACCTAAAATTAATATCTTTTTTTCGGAATCGAAAAATACGGATTTTTCAATCAATTTAGACGGGGGTCTTTTTCATAATATAAATACAGTCGCAAATCGATCCCTGAAATTTTGCAAAGTTATCTGAACTTAGTTTGTCATTTACAAATTTAAAAGGATTTTTCGCTGGAAAGAATGGAAGAATGTAGATGTGACTAGCTTCGACATACTAGCAAGCGACACAGAGCCTCCTTTGTGCCTCTACTGACACGCGTCACCTCCCTTATCCGGATATTTAAAATGGCGCTTACAAAAACAAACAAAACTCAAAAATCCGACTTGAAATTTGAAAGGAGCAAACATTTACTATAGAATAGGCTTGCACAAAAATTTTATTTTGTGCGCCTTATAACAAGGCAATATAACAGATCAAAATAAAAATTATTGGCTCTTAAAATGATTTACAATACAATCTCCAAATAATGGAGAAAAACTTGAAGGGAATACAAAATTTTGAAATAAAGTTGAAAATGCTTTTCAAAAAAGTTGCGCTCTTCTTATTGAAAGACGAAAAAAAAAAACAAAAGAGGGCTTTTGCAAATTCGCTTGCATAACTGGGACTTTTAAGAATCTTTTCTTTTTTTTTAACAGTTTTATTCACATGTTTCACAGAATTAATTTCTTTTTTTACCGTTTCCTTCATTGGTGAGAAACACCCAATCTCATCTACAGATGATAGCCAAAAATTTCGCTTTTTTTCTTCTAGAACCTCATTTTTATGCTTTCAGCATTAAAGATTCATGCCTCCTCGTCTTGTAACTTGTTCGAAATATTCGTTACTTTCTAACCTTCTGGAGTTATCCGCTGACCCGTCATGTTTTATAGCATCGAAGAAGTCCCAGGCGGATCTTAACTTTAAATATGCGTGGGTGGAAGCGTACCTTTTGATTGGACAATAAATGCAAAGAGTATATATGTTTTAAATTTGAAAAATGAAATCACAGTCTGCCTTGTCAGAATGATTATTCTTTTAGAGACAAATCTAAATTTAGAAACTTTTACAGATAAACGTAACACATCAAATTTGCTGTATAAACCACCTGGCATTCTTTTAAATACGTTACTGTCGCAGCCGCTGATGGCC